CCCCAAAACCCCAAAACCCCAAAACCCCAAAACCCCTTTGGGTGAGTAGAGGATTGATATTTAGAGAGATTTTGATGAGGATGGGAGGCATAGGGGTGATTTAGGAGTTAGGGAGGGTTTATCTGTATGCTGGGATGTCACCTCCTGTTAATTTAAGACTCACTCCGTTGAGATATGCATTCATGATGCATGCTTTTACAAGATGGGAAAACTCGTCTGGCTGGCCTACTCTTTTTAATGGATGGACCTTTTTGAAGAGCTCTAAGATAAATGGTTAATTCGTCATAAAGTTTAATTTAACAGGAAGATGTAAATAACTTGTTTTAATTTCTTTGAATAATAACAGTTTGATCATAAACCAAAATATCTTTTACTTACCAAAAATATCTTCTCCAGAAGCAGATGTCATCTCAGTTTCGACAAGAGTAGGAGCAATATTGAGTACCCTAATTCCAAACTTACCAAGATCTCTAGCCATTGGAACTGTCATCCCATTAATAGCCCCTTTAGAGCATCCATAAGAGACCATTCCTCTAGGAGCATAAGTTCCAAGAAGACTTGAGCAATTGATAATAACACCTCTCTCCCCTTTATTATTTAAAGGCTTATTTTTGGACATATATTTGGCTGAGTAAGCAGAAGAATAAATGGTGCCATTAACATTGATGTCCATAATAAATTTATGTAGCTGAAAGTCCAAAAATCTGGTCTTTGTCAATGAATAAGACAGCCCAGAAACACCTGCTGAGTTCAAAGTAATATGAAGTGCTCCAAATGTATCATAAGTAGTCTCTACAGCTTTCTTCACTTGCTCACTATCAGTGACGTCAGTTTTAACAAAAACCACTTTATCACCTCCAAATTCCTTCACAATCTGCTCACCTCTCTCCTCTTGTAAATCCGCTATGCCTACCTTCACTCCATGCTGCACCAACATCTAAACCTATTTCCCATATGCTTACCTGTACAGTTGCATAACCTAGGCCTGAACATCCTCCTGTAACAAACGCAACTTTGCCTTCAAGTTTCATTTTGGAAAATTATTAATTATGGTCAAGGTATTGGGAGTTAGAAGGGGTTTTGGGGTTTTGGGGTTTTGGGGTTTTGGGGTTTTGGGG